ACTACCTGAAGGTCTCTGGGCGGCTTACAGCATTTAAAATACAATAAAAAGGCAAAATAAAAGGGCAAAATAATTAAAATGCAATTAAAATATATATTCTAAAAATTAGGGCAATTAGCTTCTTTCTCCCCTCTAGTGGTGATATTTTTAAAAAGTTTTCATTGGAAACTATATCATATAAAAGGTAAAATAAAAATAAAATAGGAAATTAATAATAATTATGATTATATGGTGTTGATGATGACAATTGTATTTCCTAGGTGTAACAGTGGACAATTAAATGTTGAAGATGTTCTGTCAAGTTTTGACAACACAGGAAATGTTTGTAAGTACAGTAATACGTTTTTCCTTAATTCTGCATTCTTGAAGAAAGTGTAGCTTATATCCTAATACTAAACATCTGTGCCAATGTACCATGTATTAGAGTTGGTGTGAGTTATATTTTATCTGAAATAACTGTCTCTTGGCATATTGCTTTCAGTATCAGGCCACTTAATATTATAAACAGAGCTGTGTTATAGTGAAGTACCGTATTTTTTGCTCCATAAGACACACCTGACCTTAAGACGCACCTAATTTTTAGAGGAGGAAAGCAGGAAAAATATATTCTGAACCAAATAGTGTAATAAAATATTTAAACTATAACAGAATAACATTTGAACCATGTAAAGTGAACAGCAGTCAACAGTGGCATTAAGAACCATTACCACTGTCATTAACAAATGGAGAGACTTAAAGCTTTGTGTACTCTAGTTTATGTACCATAAATTTGTGTACCATAAATGTTAGTCAAATACATATAGACCATTATCAGCCAGTGATAAGACATATACCACTCTACCTATATTTTACATTTCCTTTCATCCACCTCCTCCCCATGCTTATAGAAATGTCTCAATGAGAGATGAGATAGTTGTGCAACTCTGCCCAGCTACAGATCAAGCCTATATTAAGTTAGAAATGGTTTGTCTGATTTGGCACTGCATTGAGAGGTCCCTTTTAGTTGTGTGGAGGATAAGTTGTGGAATTAAACTATTTAACAGCTGGTTTTCCTTATTTACTTTAGATTATGCAAAAGAACAGCAACACAAAGCTTAACCTGATCCCATTCACCAGCAGTAGCACATGCTCAGCATAAGACCAAATCTCCATTTTCTGACATAACTGAATGTTTATAGCATGCAAGGCACAACAGGTTAGGCCACACAAAGCCATGAACAATGTTCTTGAGGAGCCTAAAAAACTGAATACAGTAGTAGCTGAAATCAGGAAGCAGGTGCTGTAATCTAGTTAGAAGTCACGAGGCACAGTTAGTTTCCTTGCTGCAACACCCTTTGGAAATACATTCTCTATTAGATGCCCAGAATAGTTGAAATAATGCATTTTTAAGGGGGGGGGGAGGTCAGAAACTTTAAAAAACTTAAATGAAAGTCACTTACCAGGCACTGTAGACTGAGCCTGTTTCTTCACAGTGCCTTAGTAGACCCCAGAACAGCCGAAAAAGAGCCCCAAAAAGCTAAAAACCAGCATGCAGCCGGCAGCCATTTTGTGCTCTTCTCGGCTCCTACCCCCTCCCCTCTCCCCACCTAACAGCTGACCAGTGCTATCTAAACAGCTTTCTAGGCAGCTTTTAAAGCAAGTACTGGTATGCACGTTTCTACACAAGCAGGTTTCAACACAAATGGAGCACCTTTTCACCCAAGCACTAAACCCAAACAAACAGCTTTTAAACTAAATTTTACATTTTAAAACGACAATAGCAGGCAGTCCCAGGTCTCTCTCCCAGCTCTCTAACTGCTTGGATTAGCAAGGAAGCAGACAAGCAGCCTCTTCACTAACTGAAAGTTTGAATTTCCCCGCTTTCCCTGCCTTCCCCGCATATTAGGCATGCTAATATCTGTGCACTGGAGGATTGTGGGAGTCACTATTGACTAGATAGGCGGGGTATAAATGAAATAATAATAATAAAAAAACACCTGGCCCCTGATGGGGTTCCTGTGGGGCACCCCAAAACACTGAGTAGCTCTCTTGGCCTCTTTCAGGACTGGAGCTTTGCAGCCTTGTTCTGATCAGGAGGTGCAGCCGGGGGGTCACCATGCCTTTGGGGGACAGGGCACAGAAAGGGGCAGGAGGTTCAGGGGCCATTCATACCTGGCAGGGGAGATACCATGATAATCAAAGTGGTTTTCCCAGGGTGAGGCTCAACTATTGCACTTTGGATGTGCTGGTCCCTGTGATTTCTCCAGATGTGGGAAAATCAACTGCCTAAGTGGGGGACTGTGTTTGTGGTTTCCCCTGGTCTTTCTAGAATCACTCTTTTCCCCTTTGGTCCTTGGCTGTTTTTGCTGCCATAGGCCTGTTGGCCTTGCTGGTTTTCCAGGTGGGCTCCAGGAAGCAGATCCTGGAAAGACAGCAGTGCAGAATGGTGAGGTCCAAACAGCAAGCAGTCTCTGGTGCCAATTCAGAGGCCTCCCAGCATGGTAGTGGGAGGCTTCTGGGTGGTGGTGGTTGAACCCTATTTTACTATATTTGCTCTGTAAGACGCACATACTTTCTCCCTCACTATTTGGGGGGGGAAGTGTATCTTATGGAGCGAAAAATACGGGACATTTTCATACTGAAGCTGTAAATCTACATGTTTGTCTCTCCAAAGAAATATTGAATTTTTAAAATCTAGCATTTTGGGGAGGAAATAAATCAGAGTAGTAGCTGCATCCCATTCGAATGGCAGTGCACAAACCATGATGTGAACCAATATGATGTGTTTAGGTGCTGCATCTGCAGATCAGAACATTCCAGCAAGGTTCCCCAGCATGCTGCTTGAAGCAAATAAGCCAGGATTCCTGATGATCTCTGACTTTTCATGTCATGAGATATGACCCCAAAGCAAGATGTTAAAATATACAGAATACATTTTAGCATAACATACTCCCCCTGGTTTATGGATGAGCTTCAGGTGATGAAGTTGGGAAGAAGAAGGCTATGGAGCAGATGGAGGAAACTCCCTTGGATTTCAATCTAGCTGCAGTTATAAAAATATCCTTGTCGTCATTTAGTCATTTAGTCGTGTCCAACTCTTCGTGACCCCATGAACCAGAGCACGCCAGGCCCTCCTATCCTCCACTGCTTCCCGTAGTTGTGTCAATTTCATGCTGGTTGCTTCGCAGACACTCATCCTCTGTCGTCCCCTTCTCTTCTTGCCGTCACACTTTCTTAACATTAAGGTCTTTTCCAGGGAGTCTTCTCTTCTCATGAGATGGCCAAAGTATTGGAGCCTCAGCTTCAGGATCTGTCCTTCCAGTGAGCACTCAGGGTTGATTTCCTTTAGAATGTATAGGTTTGTTCTCCTTGCAGTCCAGGGGATCCTGAAGAGCCTCCTCCAGCACCACAATTCAAAGGCATCAATTCTTCAGTGGTCTGCTTTCTTTATGGTCCAGCTCTCACTTCCATACGTCATGACAGGAAAAACCATGGCTTTGACTATTCGGACTTTTGTTGGCAAGGTGATGTCTCTGCTCTTTAAGATGCTGTGAAGGTTTGCCATTGCTTTCCTCCCAAGAAGCAGGTGTCTTTTAATGATGTTGAGTTTCAGGCCGTTTTTTGCACTCTCCTCTTTCACCCTCATTACAAGGTTCTTTAATTCCTCCTCACTTTCTGCCATCATAGTGGTATCATCTGCATATCAGAGGTTGTTTATAGTTCTTCCGGCAATCTTAATTCCGGCTCGGGATTCCTCCAGTCCAGCCTTCCGCATGATGTATTCTGCATATAAGTTAAATAAGCTGGGGGACAATATACAGCCTTGTTGTACTCCTTTCCCAATTGTGAACCAATTAGTTGTTCCATATCCAGTTCTAACTGTTGCTTCCTGTCCCACATATAGGTTTCTCAGGAGATAGATAAGGTGGTCAGGCACTCCCATTTCTTTAAAGACTTGCCAAAGTTTGCTGTGGTCCACACAGTCAAAGGCTTTTGCATAGTCAATGAAGCAAAAGTAGATATTTTTCTAGAACTCTCTGGCTTTTTCCATAATCCAGCGCATGTTAGCAGTTTGGTCTCTGGTTCCTCTTCCCCTTCGGAATCCAGCTTGTACTTCTGGGAGTTCTCAGTCCACATACTGCTGAAGCCTACCTTGTAGTATTTTGAGCATAACCTTGTTAGCGTGTGAAATAAGTGCAATTGTATGGTAGTTGGAGCATTCTTTGGCACTGCCGTTCTTTGGGATTGGGATGTAGACTGATCTTTTCCAATCCTCTGGCCACTGTTGAGTTTTCCAAACTTGCTGGCATATTGAATGTAGCCCCTTAACAGCATCATCCTTTAAGATTTTAAATAGTTCAACTCCAGCCGCCGTCCCCGGTCGGAGCGGGGCAGCGTCCAGCGCAGGCCGGGTCTGCCACCGGCCTTGCAGCCGGAACAGCCTCTG